CATAACCTCTCTTAGTTATTCATCCCTACGTTTACTCATCGTCTCATCATATTGTCTTTCTAGTTTCTTTATTTTCTCAATAGACATTCTAATCAATTTATTATTTATTTGCTCGGTGAATCACAATCAAATTGTTTAGTATTTGTCTTGCGTTCATTTATCATAATTTTGTTCTCTTTTGTTTATCTATAAATTATTCCTTTAGATGACATTAGTTAGATGCTCGTCTTTCTCCGTGTTACTCTTTTCTTATTCCCGACGTTTTTTCTCGGTGTTTAATTAACTGCACATTGGATGACAGTAGCAAGAGGGACTAATTGTTTTTATTGCACTTAGCTTTGTGTGATATTGCACAAAATTGTCTTAGATAATGCACTTTTTTACACAATACATCACGAAAGTATATATTTATGTGAATAACTCATTTTCATTTTCTTTCTAAAAATACTCTTTTGCATATTACTAAATGAAATTGATTTAAATACTTCTATTAATTGAGGTCTTCTTAATTTTTTTTATTAAACTTTTGACTGGTGCACTTATTATGTTACATTCATGCACTTTTCATTAGTTTTTTTGTTTTATTTAGCAAATTATGATGTTTTCATTTCAATTTAATAAAAAATGTCAATGCAAAATTTTATAAGTGTGAAATACTAATGCACTTTTATATATATTTAAATGCACATGATAAAAGTGCATTTTATTTTGTATAAGAGTGCTACTCTAGAATTTTAGAAAGTATGAAATAATATTGCACGTTTGTATTATTATAAATGCACATTATGGTTGATAATTATGCCCTTGTACATTTCTATTCATTTTAATTTGAATCATATATGGATGTGCACAACTAAATGTGTAAAATTTAAAGTGTGGTTTACAAAAGTGTGAATTGATTTAATAAACATATAATTCTCCTTGGGTTACAAAAATATACAGTATAAGCATTTTATTAAATTGATGTTGCATAATGTTTCAAATAAAAGTGCAACTATTCAATGTTTAAGTGCAAATAAACAAAGCTAAGCGGATGAAATATTGCCTCTAAAAAGATGGCTAAAAAATCAAATTATGATGCATTTTTCGTCTAAAACGAAATATTGAATTAATTGTGCAAAAGACATCGAATAAAAGTGCAGTAACTTAAAGTTGGAGTGCGGATAGATATATTACGAAATTGCATCCAAAAAATGATTAAACACAAAAAACATGAGAAAATGTAATAAAGTTTTTTAATTAGTTAATTGAACAAATGTGAGGATACGACAAATTTGGAGAAAAAAAGTTAAATAAGAAGAATCGAATATGTTATTCTAATTATGAGGAGGTTGCTTTGTATTAATTAATATCCTAATTTGTAGGATAACTTCCCATATTTGGAATCATACGTTCCACTAGATTTAGATCATTTACCTAAATGCCCTCTTGTCATTAATATAATGCATACGTTTCCAATTTATATACTACCGTGTGCATGTCATGTGCAACTTTCAGTTCAGATGGTTTTTGTCTCAGCCGCACGATCAAAAGAATGGATGATCAGTTTTTATTCTTATTTCTCTCCTGGAGCTAGGGGTGTGCACGGGTCGGGTTCGGGCGGGTCGGGTTTGTCAACCCTAAACCCGTTCGGGTTTTTTAATTTAAATACTAGGTCCGACCCTTTGATATTTCAAATCGGGTATTTCGGATATTTTTAAGTCGGATATTTTCGGATATCGGGTCGGGTTTCGGATATTTCGGTTATATTAAAAAAAATATAATTGGATAATTAAAGTGTTTAAATGCCACTTTGACAAAAATTGTACACACTAGTGCACTAAACTTCCAAATTACGCAAATAATTTAACACAAATTGCACAAATAATTACACAAATAATTGAACACAAGTATTAATTTAACATATTCAAAGTACACACTACATAATTTAATATATTTAAGATATTTTGGTTATATCAAAACACATTATAATTGGATAGTTAAAGTGTTGGAATGCCACTTTAACAAAAATTGTGCACACTAGTTCACTACACATTCAATTTACACAAATAATTTAATACAAATTGCACAAATAATAACACAAATAATTGAACACAAGTATTAATTTAAATATTCAAAGTACACACTAACATATATTTCGGATATTCGGGCGGGTCGGGTTGGGATTTCACAAACCCTACCCGCCACCCGATCTAGGCCCAATACTAATCAGATTTTCGGTTTCGGGTTTTTCGGGTCGGATATCCACTTCGGTTCGGATAATATCCGAAAAAAATATCGGGTTTTTCGGGTCGGATCGGGTTTTGCTCAGCCCTACCTGGAGCATCATTCTCACAGGAACTCTATATATATATATAGAATTTTATTCATGTCCGGAATTCCGGACAGGAACCGCCGTCCGGACGGTGGCGTTTGGCCGCCTTCCCGGTGACATTTTTTGATGAAATTTTTATGCCATGTTCTCCATCAAGTCTAGTTTATCCACAAAAAAATTCAGTCAAAAACTCAATCGGGAAGGTCGTCAAATGATTTTTGCAAGTTAACTGGTCCGGAATATGTATTTTCCGGACCAGTTAACTTGAAAAAATCATTTGACGACCTTCCCGAATGAGTTTTTGGCTGAAATTTTTTGTGGATAAACTAGACTTCATGAAGAACATGTCATAAAACTTTTGTCGAAAAATTCCACCCGGAAGGCGGCCAAACGCCGCCGTCCGGACGGAGGTTCCGGTCAGGAATTCCTGACCGGAAGAGTACTCTATATATATATATATATATATATATATATATATATATATATATATATATATATATATATATATATATATATACTCCGTATATATATATATATATATATATATATATATATATATATATAGAGAGAGAGAGAGAGAGAGAGAGAGAGAGAGAGAGAGAGGGAATGCTCAGGTCCATCTGGAGGGACGGGAGGCTCCGTCCGAACATTACTGTTTGAGGCGGTTCCCGGTGGAATTTTTTGATGAAATTTTTTGAGCACGTTCCTCATCAAGTGTAGTTTATCTATACCGAATTTTAGCTCAAAATTTGATCGGGAAGGCATTCAAATAAATTCTTGAAACATACTGCACATTATATATGCCACACACGGCTTATTGAGAGATATATTTCCCGGAAGAAACCACCGGTACTAACTTGAGCACGCGATCAGAAGGATGCCCTAATCGTCACTGCCACAAATCAAAATTGCCAAATGGGACGAAGTAATCAACTGAATGTGTGGAATGCTACGATAGTAATAGAGTCCGTCCCGACGCTCACCGGCTCCAATCAGGTTTCCCGAGAGTTGGTCCTGTATAACACACTTCCGTCCCTGTCTCGTAGACCATCAGTAATATTGGAACAGTCTTCGTTGAGTATCGCTCTGATGAATCTTCGATGAGTTTTTACTCCCGGTGTTCGTCGAGCGTTACTCTGGTTCGTGGCTCCGGACGACTCCTTCAAGATGTGCCTCGATTGGCCTTCGATTGGTGTGTTTGATCTTTTCTCCAATTAAGGTTTGTTCCAATTCGATCTTTTCTTAGTTGGGGGTGGTGGGCCAGCAGCACATAGTTCACTTGATTGCCTTTTCCTTTAAGCCATCAAACACTTTTATGTTGATCTATTAAGCACATTCTTCTTACTTTATTATTGTTTTTCAAAGTTACTTTTATTATTGTTAATTACATTTGCTGAAGGATATTGTGTTTCATTAACTTTAAATGTCGTTGCGCTCCAATATTATCATTTAAAATCAGGTAACACTCACCCCGCCCGCCTGACCAATTCGTTATGGATGCAACCGCTTTTTATAATTTAATAAAGTTTCCCAAGTAAATTAGAAACTATTAAGATAGAAAATCAAAGTCTATCTTCTTTTTAAAAGTTATTCAGTAGCTATCAAATTAAAATCTATCTTTGATTTACAAGTTTGGAATGTACTGACACATTTAAAGTCTCACAATGACAAATCATGGAAGTAATTACTTTATTTAAGAAATGAAAATATGACTGTCTATTTTAGAATTCACAAGCATTTTTATTCATATTTAATTTAATGTAAATATAAATAAATAAATCTTGATCGGATAGAGACCATGACCAAGCGGGGATAATATATATTGGGACTGAAAGGTGAACCAGAACTGACTTAATAGAACCAACTTGAAATGTGCCATGTACCTAGATATATTGTTCTCTTTTAAATGCAACATTAGACTTTTGCACTATTCATATGCTTTACTTTGACTCTATCTATTTTATTTATTAATGTATTATAAATTAAATTAAAATATATGTTTTTAAATTCCTCTCATTTTCAATTTTCAAAATCTATTTTTTTTTCTTTACTAATAAGAAATGAAAGATATTAATTGTCAAATTTGTGCGTTAACAAATGTGAAAAGTGGACCGTCGGCAAACTAACTAACATACGGAGAGTATCTGTGAAATTCAATACTCCGTATATTTTTTTTGAATGTCAAATTAAATAATTTTTAAATACGGAGTTTGCTGAAATTTTATGTCAGGATCAATATTCTAGAATTTTAGGTTTTTTTTGAATTTTAATTGCCGGATTTTAGCCTTAACCAACAACACTTACATAGACTATACCAGATTTAATCAACCAGGTTTTGTCAATATTAACAGAGAACATATATTTTTCAAATCAGATCAAATATAAACATATTAGATCATACTAGATTAGGCTTTAATATAGTCCAATTAAAATCATCTTAAAATAAAGTGATGATAATTATTTATTTATCTCGTTTTTAAAGTTATGAAGACAGTTAATGAAAGGATTCCCACGTGATAGGCGTATAAACGGTATAATTAGAATGGCGGGAACAGTTAGATTTACGTCGTATACGCACGTGGAAACTGAGTGGGGATAGGGACGACAATAACCGTCGATAGCCAGTTAGTTCTACATAAGGAAGACGCCCCTTCCCTTACAAACTTTTTCTTCCTCGACCCTATAATAACAGAGAAATTGAGTAAAAACTAGTTTAAGGATGATAAAGCAAGGCAGTCACGATTTCTTCAACCCTGCTGGCAGCCATATCTCTGCCACCGACCAACAGAAACCGCTTCCTCCCATATATAAGAAGCGAAGAAGAAGCAGAACGATGATGGAGGAAAGTCAGCAGTCTTCATCTTCCGTGGTCCCTACTAGCAGCGCCTCCGACAGAATGCCGCAGTGCACGGAGTGCGGGAAGAGGTTCTGTTCATGGAAGGCCCTGTTTGGACACATGCGCTGCCATCCGGAGAGGCAGTGGCGTGGCATCAACCCTCCGCCGAATTTCGCCAGACCGCCACCCGTCGCCTTTTCATCTCCTCCGAGCCGCCGCAGGTTCTGCTGGGGAGGAGATGGTCATGATGATGATGATGATTTTGAGGTGGCAGGCTGCCTGCTAATGCTTGCAAATGCTGGCGAGAGTCCGCAACATCATCAGCAGAAGCAGCAGGCAGCGCTTAGGATGGATGACGAAATATCCGTGGCAGTCGCGCCATTTGAATGCTCGGGTTGTAATGATAATAATAGTAGTAGTAGTTATTATAATAATAAAGCAGGAGGAGCAGGAGGAGGAGCAGGAGCGGTGTTAAAAGCGGGCGTGAGGGAGGAGGAAGAGCGGCACAGGTGTGCCATCTGTTTGAAGGCCTTCTCGAGCGGTCAAGCGCTGGGCGGGCACAAGAGGCGCCATTGGCTCAACAAGATTCCTCCTCCTCCTCTTCCACTGCTACTTAAGAGTAGCTTTGGCCCTGACCAAGGCCATCCTCATCCCAATCCAGGCACCGGGGCTTACTCGGATTTGAACTTTCCTGCAGCACAAGATCATCATTCTTCATCACTGCCTGATGTTTACAACTCTTCTACCTATGGCCTGCCTAATTTGGATTTAAGATTGGCTCTCTAAGCACCGGTTAAGTTACACGGTGTTGAATCTATACTATATGTTACCTCATTGTTAGTTAGTTCATGTATTTTTAGTCTAGTAATTAGCTAGTTACAGTGCCTGGTGCTATTGCTGGCCTGATTTCTATTAATCGTACTGATATACTTCTATTATTAACAACTGTTGTATTGTTATTACTCCCAGGGACGGATCCAGGAAATTGACTCAAGGGGGGCGAAATTTTTCGTTAGTGTAGATGGCGAAAAATTTTTCGTTAATGTAGCGGCGCGAATTTTTTTTCCATAGTGTAGTGGGGCGAATTTTTTCGGTGTTGTAGGGCTATGCGGCTATTTTAATTCAAAAAATGACATGAATACATAAACATTCCCAACGATATTTAAATCTATTACATTCTAAGTTTAGACAATGACAAAGACATCAACCAATACATTTTAAATAACTTCTACATTGTTTAACCTCATGAATCGGTTATTGAATTGTAATTTTTGTCTACCAAGGAGGGTGTTCGTGAGTCATGACTCATGAGAAGTTTTCTTAATATTACAATAGTAATATTTATGGGATTATTATTTTTAGATAATATGCACCACATATTATATATATGGTACATATTATATTTTAATATTTGTATTAATGCTATAATAATTTAAAGTTTATTATCTATGCAATAAATTATTTTTTAGAAAGCAAGAAGTAAACAAATTATGTACTTTAATTTCAATAAACATTTATATTTTGGATCATTTCACGTGATCTAAATACTGTGTAATTAGTGTGTCTGGTATTTAATATCATTTGATATATATTTTACAAAATCCAGTACTTGTTATCTAATAAAGATAATTACACATTACAAAACTAGGAATTTTTATATAATAAGTATCCCAAATCTTAAACAACGAGTTATTCTATTGTTTATTTGTTTAAGTTATGTAAATTATTTTAGATGTTACTTCTTTCAAATCTCCAATTAAGTATTACATAATGTAAGACTATATATTAATTTTGAAAATTAAAAGCTAAGGGGGGCGAATCTAATTAAATTATGAAAGTTCTATGAAAATATTACATATATGGTAAAAAAATTTGAAAATCCAAGGGGGGCGGTCGCCCCCCCGCGCCCCCCCCTAAATCCATCCCTGATTACTCCTACATTTAGTATTAATAATTCTAATCAGATTATAGTTCGGCTGGCACATATATAGATTAATAGATACACTTGTATCTGTTATTACATGTTAACCTGCATATTGTTTGTCAATTCAAACATGTTTTGATGTCTACCTATATCATTTGAACTTCAAAAGTACATAGGCGTAAAAAAATCAAAGCAAATTCTTCAGTGGGATAGTTTTCAGCCGAGATATTCATGTCTATTGCTATAAGAAAAATAAAAAAGAACAAATATGAAGTGTTCCAAACTTCCAATCAAGTATTTAGGGGTTTTTCTTCATCAAGGGATTAACAGCTTCAGATTCTGTAAGGTTCTTATTTGCTCCTTTCACAGGAAGTTATCAGTTTGGAAACAAAAGTTACTTTCCCAGAGTGGTAGACTTATTTTAATTAAACATGTCCTCTCTTCTATTCATGTTTGCGTTCTTCATCCATTCATTCACTTTCTGATTTTGTGTTTTTGTTGGACTGTATGAACATGAAGTGTATTTGACACACATTTTCTGCATTTCCGAAATGTTTCACCTGTTGTAAAATCAAAGCTTCAGTGCATCTGTCTTGTTGTTCAGTTTTTGTACTTACGTATATCTGATAATTGTGGGAGTGGTTACATTTTTAAAAACATTTTGTGGACAAAGCTATCATTCTTCCTTTTACATCTCATTTTTAAAATTGCATATATATCTAAGTTTACATCACCGCTAGATAAATGGAGATTGGATCTCTTTTATTAGCTTTTCTGTACATCGGCTAATCCTTACTTTTATTTGATTCAAACTGTTATTTGTCTGTTATTTGTCTTACGAGGTTGGGATTTATAGTGGTATGTATATTATATAACATGGGAAATCTTTATAAAAAGGTATATATGCATCATCATATTTTAAAAGGTATACACTAAACTATATATACACATCTTAAAACATGTCTACTAGTCTGAACTATAGACCCATTTACGCCTCATATCCTAAATTTTGAGCTTTGTTGTTTAAAAATGTTTTCACTTTGATTTTTAATTCAAAGCTTTTATTAGTTAATTTTTTGATTGATTTCAGTACATACACATATACTATTTTGAAAGCTGTATATCTAATCCCTAACAGCTATACACACAGACATATACACACCCACACACACAAACATATGCTTAATTTCTATTTTATTGCCTAGATAAATTAGGTTCTGCATTCAAAGGCTTGTTTAGATAAATGTATTTGATTCACCCACCTATAAATTTGATTGCGTTCATCTGTTCATCTACCTCATTTCAATATTCATTTAATTTGATTCATTACATTACATAACCAACCATGTCTGATTAATTTAATTTGATTCAAAACTGTTGAAATCATTTCCTGCATAATGTTCTTCACACATTCTTTATTTGCTTGTTCTGTTTATATGAATTTGCGTAATCCTTTTTTTATTTATTTCATGCAAATAAAAATGGTGGGATTTGTATTACACAAATATGTTCGACTTGTTTTACATGTTTTAGTTCACAATGTTGTTTTACTTGTTGATTTTAGTGATTCCGTTTTGAATTTATTCTCTCTCAAAATTCATTGAAACAATTGACAATGTTGTTTTACTTCAATTACTTGTTTGAATCTGAAATATTTTCCTATAATATCCCTTGCCTTTTTCTGATATCCCTATGAAGTTTACTTATGTACATAAACAAATGAAATATAAGAAATACCTGGAATCTTCTGTATGTGAGGATCAGCGTGCCACGTATTATCCCTAATCAATTTATTAAGTTGTTGCACTTTTTAAGAAACGGTCATGAGTTATGCTTAGAACTTTTATAGTTTGTGATGCAATTAATTTGTTACTAAAAATATTATGAATTTAAAATCCAATGAAGCAGACATCTGCTGATCAGTAGAGCTCTACAACAATGTTAGGGAAGCCGAGTGTAACCAGGAAAGATGAAGTTGTGACCAGAGAGTACACCATCAATCTCCACAAATGTTGGGAAAAACTCCGGACTTTCCCGTTTCGTGAAGTTAAGATAGACACTTATAAAATTATAAAATTATAAGATAGGCACTACGATAGGCGCTTCAAAATATTTTCATAAAAGTATAAAATTTATAAATTATATACTAATATAATAATTGAAATCATTGTCTAAAGTTAGCAACCATTGACCAAGAAAAATCAATTTGACGAACCTTTTCGGGATGGAGGTAGTACTTTATATATCAAATTTTTATCTATTTTAAGTTTTCATTATCAGGCTTTGTAGCGGTTTTAATGTAGTTTCTGAATATGCAAATTTTATTTACTAAAAATAATTTGAGTTTGAACAGGGATAGATCGAGTTGCTTTATCATCAGTCAAGCATCATAAACTGAACGGGAAGCTGTTTCAGGGACGGAGGTAGTACGTAGGACGGAGTATAAATTAATAAATGCTTAAATGTACCATATAGAAATAGTGGTTTTAGGGTGTGTTTTTTTACTAAAATTTTCTGGTCTAATCTGATCTTATTTTGACCGGTCTGTTTAATTATAGTATGGTCTAATTTGAACTAGTCTGGTGTGGTCTGGTAAAGTTTGATCTTTATGTATTTTAGAATTGTTCAAGTTTGGTCTGATCTGGTCTTTTTAAGTCTGGTCTAATCTGATGTGATCTGTTTAAGTCTGGTCTAATCTGGTCTCGCCTGAGACAAAAAACAATCCACATAAAAAAACTCAACCCCATCGGATCTGACCCATCTATAATACTACGTAAAATATAAACAAAATAAATCACATAAAATTGAATCAGATAAATTTTATCTGATAAAAAATCATCAAAATTGTCAAATTTACACTATACAAAAGAATAGTAGGATTTACAAGAATGTTACAAAGTTGTCTCACTCAATGATGACTCACTCAAGCTTGAGGATGATGTCTTCCCAAGCTATCTCTCTTCTCTTTCAAAGAGGCTTTCTAACTTTCTCACTCTAGAAGTGGATTCACTCTTGGCTAGAATGGTTAGGAATGAAACTCCTACCCCTATTTATACTACTTCACCTTCACAATGAATGGTGAGGATGATTTCTATCCAAGGGTGGAGATTGATTCTCTAGAATGTTCCACACACTCTAGGAGTCTCTATACTCTTCCACTCTCTTCCATATCCTTCCATACTCTTCCCTAAGCTTCCGGAAGGTTCCACACATCTCTAGAATATTCTAGAGGATTCCACACTATTCCACATACTTCTAGAGAGTTCTAGACTTCTCTAGGATTCTCCGGAACTTTGTAGAAAATTCTATACTTCTCTAGAAAGCTCTAGAATTTTCTAGAACCACTCCAATTAAGGAGGGATCCCAACAACAAACGTTTGCATGGATACTCTCTTTCTATACTTGATTGTAGTTTGAATATCTTGTTGCATAATCTGTTGCATAGAACTTAATTACTAACTATCGGTTTGTATCCTTCAATTAGGATTATCCACCATAAGTCTAAAAGTAGTAGTTTTTTCAATTTTCATAGTTACATGCATGTGGCTTGAAAATTGTGTATAAGCTACGTTTTCAATTTGGTAGAGTTGCAAACCCCATTTCTCCATCCACATTGGTAAAGTTGCATTTGCCTGCAGATTACATTTGTGTTCGTTGCAGTCTTAAACTTGTTTTGGCAGACGTGATTTGCTTTTTATGTTGACTTGGGATATAGAGCTTTTGACTTGCTTGAATAGAATTGATTTAATGAAATTTTTTATGTCCTTTTTGTATTGTAAGCACATTCAACCATTCCAACCAAGTAACTTGTTCCAACAGGACCATAGTGTGCAAAAACGTAGACATATTGTAGTCCTCCCTCATTCGATCATTTCTTACCTGTGTGTTGCAGTTCATCTCGTCTTAATTATATGTGATATATTTGCAGCACATTCAAGGAGAAAGCACCCAAGGCAATAAAGGAAATAAGGAAGTTCGCTCAAAAAGCAATGGGAACAACAGACGTTAGGGTTGATCCGAAGTGTGCCGAGGAGGGTCCGTGTGAATTGCAAGGAAGAGGAATGATGACGAAGATGCCAAGGAAGAACTTTACTCACTGGTTACTGACTTACTATTGCTGAGGCTCTAGAGGGACTTAAGGGCTTAGGAACTACTATCATTGAGGATGATGAAGACTAAATTTATCTCTTCCAGTTTTGGTTGTTGTTCTTTTTCAACTACTATCATTGAGTGTGTTGTCATTTTGATTTTTAGACTTGACAAATCTTCGTATGTGTTAAAGATAAAATTTGGGCTCTTTACAAATGTATGCTTAAACAATGATATGCTTAGTAATAGTTAGATTTTGTTTATGTCAAAAAAGAAGAGAAACACACACGTGGGAATGTTTGACAGTGCAGTGCACATACTGATCCC